GTAATTGTTTAAAAGTCTATATTCGTTAAAAAAATGCGATAAACTTTTGATATATAAACGAAATTTTCCGTAGTGTATGAGGAAAACGAAATCACATACCAGCTCCAGCGTTGCGTTGCATCACTTTTTTTTACTCCTGGGATGGTGAATCTCCAACTTGGTTGATACTGGTCTATACTATCCATCTGACGTTTAGACTTGAATAAGCGTTAGCGACAATAGCCTACGACCTTAGATCCATACTTCGGGATATGTCGCGTTTCAACCCTCTCCGATAACTGTTTTGAGGGCGTAGTCCTACTAAGACTAGTAGAAGGAACGTAATAATGTATATAAGCACCCTTATATCGTTCGGAATTTTCAACACGTCTTCTACAATTGAATTGGAGTTAACTACATCACTGCTCGCAATTTCACTTTATTTTGAGTTGGTGGTACCCATTCCAATTTTTTTCAATCGGCAGGATCGTCATGTAGAGGTTATTTCACAATGAAGGGCTTAAAATTAAAAAATTGATAGAGTGTTCACTTTAGTCCATTGTTCTTTTTGTTCTGATTCAGATTTTCAATTAACAACTCGTCGAATGACAATATAGTTTATAGATAAATATATTTGCATTATTAGCAAAACATGATTGACCTAGTTATAAGTGGAAATGATTAATTTGCAGGGAGTATATTTATGAATGAATATTTAAAAGAATAAGTACACTTATCCTAAAGGACACTACAGTTTTTCTCCATTAAATTGAAAGTTTGAGTTTTTTCCTTGGCTTCAATATTAAGGTAAAGAACATCCACCCAGAAGTCGAATTTATTCAGAATTTGTATGTTTTTATAATATTGTCACTGCTATCGGCAACACATTTGAAATGTTTAGTATGCTTTGATATATAAAACTTTTGTGGTAGCATTTCTTCATCCAAGTTGACATCTTCGGATAATATTAATTCAGTTCATGAAACGCGCGTTGGGAAGAGTGTTTCATTTATATTTTTAGTCATGAACATGGTTGAAATATATCTTTTGAATTCTGAAGATTCGAATTTTCATTTATTAAAAACGGTAATACATTCGAAATTAATTTACCCAGAGTGAAACTTCCATTTTTAGATAAGGAATGACAAAATCGCCTACTGAGAGTAAAAAATGAATCGATTTTGGATAGATCTCCAGTATATTTTCCTACAAAAAATCATCGAAAACAGTTATTTTTTTCTAAATAGTCATAGTGTACAAACCAACCCCTGCAACTCATTACTGTTTACATTCTAGATTCCTTTATATTCAACATTTCATTTCAACCGATTTTTTGACAATTGCTATATTATTCAAATGATAATGGTAGTTTTGAGAAGAATTCATTTTTTACGGATTTTCTAAATTAATACACTTGACAAGTCCAAAGGCTTGTTTGAAACACAAAGGTTTCAGCACTGAACTAAAAATGTGGGAATCTTTCCTCATCTTCCTTCAGAAAGATGTGTAGATCATGCAAAGAAGTATCTTTCAGGCACAAACTGGGAGAAAAAGCCTATTTATTTAGAAAATACATCCAACAGGTCATGAGAATCAATTACAGGAGTACATAATACAAAATGAAAAGCTTATATTAATCCTGAAAAAACAAAAATTAAACATAAAACGTAATCTATATAAGCATTATATACCATGTAACATATCAGCTCTGTAGTGCATTATATATTGCTTTCCTAAACTGAGATAATGGTGAGAAGAATATATCTATGTTTTGTAGACGATTGTAGCTTCTACACATTAGATGTCAAATGACAGTGAAAGTAGAAGAGTCGATTTGATTATGTATGATTTTGTATATAAACATCAAGTCGTTAATTTGGCGGCGTTTTTTAAGTGATGTATAGTTGAACTCTTACAAGAGTAAATCATAGCTATACTCTCTTATGAGGTTAGAACCAAGTTTTTTTGAATAAAGAAATTTCAGAAACTTTTTCTGTACAGCTTCAATACAATATTTATATATTCCCTGACAAGGATTCCATATGGAGCTACAATATTCCAGTTTGCTTCTGACCAGTGAATAATATATAGAGCTAATTGCCTCTACTAATGAGAATCCTTTGCTATTACGCATAACAAATCTTAGCATTTTCATTGCACGCGATGTTATTTCTTCGATATGTGACGAGAACGTTAGTTTTTCATCAAAGATAACACCGAGACCTCTCGATTCGGTAATTCTTGCCAATGTTATATTATCCAATTTGTATTTATATATGTGTATTGAGAATTTTCTCGCAAAAGTCATAATTGTACATTTGCCTATGTTTAATGATAGTTCATTTTTCTGACACCAATCATGTAAATCAGTAATATCGTTTTGAAATGATATACAATCAGAGTAGTCTTCAATCTCCCTGAAAATCTTCATATCATCAGCAAAAAGTAGTTTTTCAGAGTTGATATTATCAGAAATGTCATTAACAAACAGAAGAAATAATAATGGACCCAAGTTTGAACCTTGAGGAACCCCGGAAGTTGCATTAAATATAAACGATTTAATTCCTTCGTATTCCACAAATAATTTTCTATCACTAAGATATGATTTCAGCAGATATTGAAGTCTTCTGGATATGCCAAAGCTTGATAATTTCATGAGCAACTGATGATTTGAAACCCGATCAAATGCTTTGCTGAAATCCGTTTCCAACTTGTTTCCGTTGGTCCAGTTTGTCAGAAACATATTGTGTGAAAATACAAAGATTTGATGCAGTGCCGTGACACTTCACAAAACCATGTTGAAATTCGGAAATTGTGTTTTTTACGTGCTTATAAATGAGGTCCGATGAAATTATTTCAACTAATTTCGAGTACACTGATATTATAGTAATCGGTCTATAATTTACTATTTCCGAATTCTTGGCGGTTTTAAAGATAGGGCATATCCTCGACATCTTCCATATATTCGGAAAGTAACAATTTTTCAGCATGAGGTTGTAAATGATACAAAGAGGCTTCACAAAAAGAGCAATATGATTCTTAACAAACATGACTGGAATGCCATCTGGTCCAACTGTCAATTTATTTTTCAAATTATTGGAAGCTGAGATGATGTCATTTTCCGAGATTTCACCAAGATGTAAGTAATCACTGGTGTTGAGACATTCTCCATTATTCCAGTTCGAATTTTTAAGATTATTATCAGAAATATACACGCTTTGAAAGTTCGTTGCAAATGCATTAACTATAGCGTTAGGTGATGACAATATTTGATCATTAAAATACATATGTCCTGGAATTCGAGATTTATCATTCTTTGAGTTCACATAGCTCCAAAAACTGGAGGAAATTTTTTTCAGGTTTTGTTCGGAGTTCGCAATGAAACGTTTATATGAAATATCTATATCGCGTTTAACTGAATGCCTCATCTCTCTGAATTTTTCACGATAAAAAAGTAGTTTATTATTCCTATACATTTTCAGGTAGTGATTTTTTACTTTAAGTTTTCGAATCAGATCTTTTGAATACCAGGTAGGGTTCTTGCGGGAGCAGCATTTTTTCATGGGTATACACTTTTTTATTATATTTTGTATGACTTCGTTAAACCGTTCGCATGTTCGATCGACGCCATTCAGGTTGCTGAAGTGTTGATTCCAATCAACTCCTCCGAGTAATCTGCAAAGTTTTTTCAGTATTTCTGGAGTTATACCGGTTAATGAAGGAAGAAAATTTTTTTCGTGTTGACCCTGGTAAAGTTTGTACTATAAGTCCTAGATGATGGCGATCAATCTGAACAAGAGGGTCGTCATCAGTAAGTACTTGCAATTGTGCAATTGTTTTCGTTACTAGCAATTATCAAATCGAGAATAAGTCTGTCATTATAATTTTTAAATCTATTAATTTGATACATATTACAAAAGCTCAGAAAGTTATTGAAACGTAATATCAAATTGGTTTGAACTTTTTTATCATAATGATCTTGAAGTTCTGGAATATTGAAGTCACCTAAAATTATTGTATTGCTAATTTCGTGAATGTTCTCTAGGCATTCGAAAAATTCATCATGTTCATCAACAGATGTGTATGGAGGAATATATACAAGTATTATGATTTTCGAATCATGATTACAGCCCCATATCTTTACTGACAAAACATCTATTTCATAAACATGACAAATCAATTCAATTCAAGGGATTGGTATTAGTTGCTATCGACTGCCAATAAAACACCACCTCCACGAGCTCCTGTGTTTTTATCTTTACGATAAACTGTATAATTATACGGGAATAGTTCGCTGTTGAGATGATCTACATGTAACCAACTCTCTGAAATCGCAACAACACTATGACAACTTGCTAGTACATTTCTATAAATTAAGTGAGTTTTGGTATTTAGACCCCTAATTTTGATAGCAAATAGTTAATGTGTTAATTGCATCTTTCTCTAAAAATCTATTGGATGGAATTACAAGTTTTTTACTACTATAGTCGGATGCCCATTTTTATATTTTATTACCAAGTTGTTTTCACCATTGTGTTTTCGCAGTGTGTATTTGGGATATAGCGTAAATGTATACAAGAAACAGAAGAAATAGAAAACACAACGCTTTTTTTCAAATTTATCTCTCACTATTACCAAAAATTTCAATAAGACAAAAATATTAAGTCGCAAATTACAAAATAATGGAGAAACGCAAACCCCACGTTGACTGGACACTTTTGATTGAATTGACCCCCTTGATTGAAATGACAGCAGTGTGAATGAAAAATTCGCAACAAACTAGAATGTCATATCCTTGCAAAATGTATGTATTCCAAAACTGATAAAACCAGTGATTTCAGGATATCACGGTTCCTTCAAACTTGAGCATTTGCAAAGTAATCAAGATGTAATGATTGTGAAATTCAATTCATTTCTACAATCTTATATTTATGTTGGATAATATTCCTAAATAGTGTTTTTAATAAAAAAATCACTTGAGAGAATAACATAAAATTCATGATAGGATATTCTTCACTTACTCCAGTAGTTGCTGCATGTGATATACTAAGCAACAACAATAAACCATTTGTGACGAAGAATTTCCTCATATTGCACGTGGTAACGACAAAATAATCACTGAGTGCGATTCAGATCATCTCAATCGTTTTATTTCCTTTCTATCGAGAAACACATGGGAGAGAGTGGAACAAAATGCAGTCAAGAGAAATAGAATCAGTTATACACCAAAAGTCCATACTAAATTTTCAGAGCTGTAAAGGAATTCAACATCCTTGCGCCCCATTTCTCATACATTTGGTTAGAAAAACATGTAGTATTAATTGATATTTGAATCAACGAAATCCGTACAAAAATTTGTACCCCGACTTGGGTTATACTGCACCATCTATAACTGACCATATGAGTCTGAAACTCATTTTTCTCTTGAAGGTTATCAAAATCATATTGTCATGTTCGACACTGAGTGGGAGAATTCATTTATTTTCAAATAATCATCACCATATGTTGGAAAATGTCTTCCTGTTGGAGAGAATGTTCTCGAATGAATCGTTAAAATACGGAGAAACTTATGGATTGGTAGGGACTTTGTACATTTGGTCTTTTCTTTACAATTCGAACACAACGGTATTTCTTCTCTTTATGAGTTTTCTCTCTCATACAGAAATGCAAGCAATGCGAATATCTCAATTGGTCAGTTCTTTGTGGAATGTGGAGCGACAAATCCAGATAAATACACCATTATTTTTTTTCCAAAATTCTCCTTGTGTATTGGCTGGTGCAGAACTATGAACTTTCAATCTGGATCTTCAATTCGTCTCTTGGTTACTTCTTTTTTTCAAGGACAAAACACAAGCACCACAAGAAAATCCTTGAGGCGCTCTAAGAGCGATGCCTGTGCGAAAGTAGCGATTTACGTTCGAAATTAATTTCATTTGGAAAAACGTTATCAAGAAGTTCATTTCACATAAACTCAGTTCTCCATAAGAAAGAATTCCTAAACAGTGAAGTTTGAAGTGTACTAAGTTGAACCTCAAAACGCGTTCAAACTGTTAAATACGTAAAGAGCGACCAAACGTTTTATAGGGGCATTCAATACAACAGACAGAGATCGACTGAATTCTGAGTATTAGTATTCATCGAAACGGTGATTTTTGATTTAAAGACTTTTTCGAATCGTTAAAACTTTCTATCAATTTCCAGGCTCTATATTTCCAATCTACATAATGTTTTAGCGGCTCACATATATCTGTCTCAAGTTTTGGTGACTTACTTGAATGTCTCTCCATGGAAGTTACATTTCAAGATATAATTTTCAATTTCGACTTGGTATTCTTTGCTGACAATTCCGCAATTTTCGCAGTTTTTGCATAGTAAGGTATTGAGGACTCGAATAAAAAGCAACAAGCTTCAATCCATCTTCTTCCAGTGTTTGGCCTTGTAGTTCAAACAACGACTTTTCCAGCGTTGCTATCTTTCACAACGATTTCACGAGAAACGTTTTCTATAAAACCAAAAAACCGATTGCAAGGTCTATCTTGTTTCCGAACAGCATAAACTTTCAGTGCATATCTATTGTATTTTTTTTTCAAAACTTTGCTGGATGCACTTTTTATTTTGTCCTCACATCATACTTGTACATATTTTGAGTTATTCTTAATGTATTTGTTATAAAAATCATGCAAAGTTCCAAATATAGGAAAGGTCAGGAAATGTTTTTGAAATTTTTTTTATATTTGCCTATACCCATGCCCCTATTTAATGATAATTCATTACTATTATCAATTATATTCATTGAGAGAGGTGGTGAATTAATATGTTTTCAACATTTTGAAATATTTATTTGGTGTGGTAATAAAATCATAATAATAAAATACATTTGGAGAGTATGATAAAATTTTTACCTACTGATTTGAAATAAGTATACAAAAACACTTGAGATAATTTCCGAAGGACAATTGATGTGAAATTTTCTACACTCGAAATTAGTGGGATAGAGTGGGGTTTGATATGCTGCCAAGTAATCTTTGCCATTTTTGTGTGAAATTGTGATCAGATAAAATTAAACCGTAAAAATATGGTAAGTTGACTTGCTGCTAATATCTATATCGATACTATTGACAAAAAATATATACTTATGAAGTGACGTACCTGTGAACTGTTACTTTAATTGATTCCACTTTTCTTGATATCATTAGGTTCCACTTTCTCCCATGTAATATGATTAATTTTCCAATCAAACACAAATACTACGAATAAAAGGTTCTATTTTCCAGTCAGTGTCATAATTTTATTGTTTCTATGTGCAATATGAGGAAAATATTCCTTACAAATTGTTTTTGGCTGTTGCTCAATGTTTTACATGCAGCAACTACTGGAGTAAGTGAAATATATTCTGTTCATTATCATTTCCATGCCATGTTTCCCTCCCTACTGAATATTTACAGAAGAAGAATTGTATAGACCATGCTTTCACATGAATATGTGAAGCTTGCTAGAAAGGCATCTCTCTCTATTCAGGGCAAATAGATCAGTAAAGTAACTGACAATTTCTCACTTCTTTTTTCTTATGAAAGGCTCGAGACAGTAAATTTCTCAAATCACTATAATTTTATCTATTTGAGAAACTTTGAAGTTTGAAAAGATATGATTTTCTGATTTTCCGCTAATTTCTGAAATATACTGCTGTCGAATGTATCTATATAACGTTTGATTGAAGGTGGTTGAAAATGTTTCGTGATGCCTGATGCATGATAAATTCCCTGAAAGAATCTGTGAAAAAATAAAAACGATTATCTGAAAAATAAAAATTATATTAAGCAAAAAAAACTGAAATTACAATGATATAAAATACAAGCAACAACCAAAAAATCAAAGAAATTGAACTATCAACACGGGATGAAAATTTAAAAAATGAATAACAAGAAATGAAAATTAATAATTGAAAGATTCCAAACAAGTTACTTCACGACGTTTCGATTGTTAGTATCCACAATCGTCTTCGAGTGATAACTGGACTTAATTTTTTACAGATTCTTTCAGAGATTTCAAATCATTTTATATTATATTAGACAATGAAAGTCCGAACTAATGAAATTTATCTATAAACAAGATTGGTATTATGAGGTTTCAAATGATTTACATCAGAATTACGTCTCAATATGTTCTGTTTGAAAAAAATCTGTTCAAAATCTGTTTTTTCGTTAATCACACAATCATGTCGCTGGAATTGCAAAGACTGCTTCTCAAAAGTTTGAAACCCTGTTCCGAACCAGAAAACTGTATACACCTCAGCAACTTCTGATGCTTTATCAAGCTCAGATCAGACCTTTTTTGATTGTTCTCCGTCCCTAACTCCGCCCCTAAGCATACTCTGAAGCTGCTGGATTCCATCCAGAAAAAAACCATCCGCCTGGAAACTGCGTTCCAAAATAAAACAGTTTTCATGAGAACGTTCTTCCAAACGAATTCAATCTCCAGCGATTCAAATTCAACATGAATCGCTACTTTCGCACAGGCACCGCTCTTAAAGCGCCTTAAGAATTTTCCCGTAGTGCTTGTGTTTTTTGCCATCAGAAGAATCATTTCCGGGGTTAGTTTCTCTTTAATCTTATGGCGATTATCTGTTGAGTAGTAGTGGTTATTCTGTCTGTTAAACATTCTATCACTTTTGTATTTTGACTCGTCACTGAATAAAATACAAAACATACAATAAAATGGGAAAAACTTTTATCCTTCAATGAGTCTGAGTTTTTGTTGTCATTTATTTGCAATATTTCTACTCAATATGTATTTTTCGAATAGTTTTCTATTTTCAGCATCACCTATATCATAACTATTTTAACCCAATTTAGAGTGAAAGTCAACGGTAACGTACAGATCCAATCCAAAACTTCATGTGAAAGAAAATATTTTTTATTGTATTATCAAACTCCGAAAAGACTCAGAATTGATAGATATATTTTTTTTTTAATTTGGATACATAAGTTCATCATCTTCTTTGATCTGTAAAAAAAGGCAAGCATTATGAGAATCTCATTCCGTGAGTAATTCGTGATACGGGGGAAAGACATATTTCAGAACGGATCCTTCTAATGTACTGATTAGTGTCCAACAAAACTGTTCCTAATCTTATAATTTCCATTATCGAACATCTTGACGGAGATTCTTTTGCTTCTTCTCTGTTGCTCAATTTTTTGTCTATTTTTGTCAGGACTGATTGATGTAGGTTTCTTGGTGTGTACATTTTCTGTTGCATAAAATCTCTACTGAAACATGGAATCGCGATATTCCTGGAAGTCATCCTGCACCAGAAAAGAATCAGCAGAAACTAAATCATAATTTGACACCGATTGTTAGAATTTGTTGGACGCCATGTAAATTATTAAATCAATTAAAACCTCGAAATATATAACACCAAAAAAACAACTCCATTCATGTAGGTCTTCAATTTATAAGTTTGACAACTCCGGTAATTTCTATAATCTTCAGTGTTGAATTTTTATATAAACCGGTCTTGCAAATACCACTATTTTGATGAAATCTAAGATTTTTATATCGTAATAAGCTTCCTCATTCGAGATTATTATAACACTTTTCACTCAATCTGTATTTTTGTTGTAGGAACTGAACGAAGATATCATAGTTCAACTGAAGGAAGGTAAAATTCGAGGGCATATCCTAAAGAGTGAAAATGGCAACGATTATTACGCCTTTCAAGAAATTCCTTACGCTGCACCACCTGTAGGTGAAAATAGATTACAGGTGGGTCAGAGAAACATGCTTACTGAAAATGAGATAACATTTTGAAAGCAATCCCTTAATTGTTGATTGTCTGACTTCCCGCCAATTGAAAGATTGTTCGACTTACCTGTAAGGAGGGACAATCTAAATTATCCGAGCTCATATTCCGAACATTTTTGCTCACATTGTAGTCATATCGTATCATGCCATGATTCACAAATTNGTAGAGCAAACACAGGTAGTGGCAGCAACGCAGGTAAAGGGAAACATCCATCCCTATAAATTGAGTTCGAATTAATCAGTCTAGTTGAAAAAAACCAGACATCACCAGAAGATGGCAAATGAAACTTTGCCGAAACGTTGTGAAAATAATCCTTATGGGGAGAAAAT